GGCTCCGGGGTAGAAGAGTACGGTATCGACCACCCCCCCCCGACCCCCCGAGGAAAAAACGAGAAAGAAGAGGAGAAGAGACCGAGAAGAGAAACGGAGAGAAGAGAGAGAGAGAGAGAGAGAGAGAGAGAAAGACCGAGCAGAGAGAAGAGAGAAAGAGAGCCAACGACGAACAACAGCGGAGCAAAAGGAAGACACCCTGAGGGACCCGGAGAGAGGAAGACCCCGCCGACGCCAATCGAGAGCAGAGGCAAGAAAAGCACGAGAGAAGAGCACGAAACCGCAACGGTACAGAGACCGACGCGAGAGAGAGACGAGAAGAGAGACCCAAAAAAGAGCAGAGAAGAGAAACGAGGGGACCGAGTGAGACGAGTAAGCACCCGGGCATGCGAGGGAGACCGGGCAGAGTGGCTCGCAAACAATAGAAGAAAAAAGAAATTAGCTAGGCACGACCCGACGGATGGAGAGAAAGAAACGGTCGACCGTCCGACGACGACGAGAAGAAAATAACAAAATTCGCTAGTGGCGCCCCGGTGACGGCCGCCGCCGACCATCCGCGCGAGGGGAAACGAAATTCGCTAGCGGCGCCCCCTGGCATTAGCCGACGACCGTCCGCGCGAGGGGAAACGAAATTCGCTAGCGGCGCCCCCTGGCGTTAGCCGACGATGAGCGTGCTCTCGTCCACGAACTCGTGTTCTGGCACCTCGAGGTTGAGCGGCGCGGGACCCTTGCGGATGCGTCCGCTCGCGTCGTAGTGCGAGCCGTGGCAGGGGCAGTAGTAGCCGCCGTACTCGCCCGCGTTCGCGATCGGCACGCAGCCGAGGTGCGTGCACACGCCGACGACCACGAGCCACTGCGGCTTCTTCACTCGCGCCTCGTCGTGCTCCGGATCGCGCAGCGAGGCGACGTCGACGACCGCCTCGGCGGCGATCTCGGCGGAGGTGCGGTGGCGGATGAAGAGCGGCTTCCCGCGCCACTTGAAGGTGACGTTCTTCCCCTCGGGGATCTCGCCGAGCTTCACCTCGATCTTCGCGAGCGCGAGCACGTCCGCGGACGCCGACATCGACCCGATGAACTTCACGACGGCGTTTTTGCCGGCGTACGCGCCGGCGACTCCGCCACCCGCCGTCATCAGGTACGTGAACGCGCGGCGAGGCGTGTCGGACGCCTGCGCGTCGGCGTCGCGAGTGCTCTGGCGCCGGTACTCCGTGAAGTCCGGCACGGACATGACGTCGGTGTGCGCGAGGCGGACCTGGCAGGGGGCGCCGACGGCGCAGGTGGCGCGGACGGCGCCGCAGGGCGTCTGCCTGGCGAGGGAGAAGCTTGTCGCGGGCATCGGCTGCGGTGGCGCCACCTCGCCGGCCTTGACGACGACCGCGGGGATTCCGGCTGCAACGACGAGGCGAACGATAATTAGTAATTAGGTTAATTAAACCGTGAGGTCGCGGTTATCGGATCTATCGCAAATATAAATATATATGTGATACATCTTAAAATTATATACATGTATAATATTTGTATTAAATACATATATCAAAATTAATGTACAATCCAGAATTTTATGGATCATGCAACGAAAATATGAAAACTTATCAAATCTATAATATTGTATTATTTCTCTCTCTCTCTCTCTCTCTCTAACTCTCTTTCTCGATACGGATACTACAATAATAATACGACAACGAGAATTTTTAATGACAGGTATCATTAAACACACAACAACAACCCACAAATTTCTCCCTCTCATCTATAAATACGGTTACATTTACGTTTAAATATTATAAGCAATGCGTTTAAATATTGCGAAATTAAGTATACATCTCGGCTATCATTCTTACTTCGTCTAACCTACAAATTTATTACTGCCCTGCCTCTGACAAACGCGAGGAGGCGATGAAGCATTCGACACGTTACGTCACACACTCCGTCACTGTATACGACACACAAACTAGCGGTCCACTCACTTATCCTGCGCCGCATGCTCGGAATTATTATTACTGCCACTCTAAATATTTGAAAATAAAGACGATCACCTGAATACATCACAGGTTGTAACCCTTCGCCCGATACGTGGCATCATGCCTCCCCGTCTGCGCGCGCATTCACGTCCAATGACACCAAACAACGTGATTCTACTATAGCGTCCTCTGGCGTGTATATAAAAAACTTATTGCATTTTATTACGAGCACGTGGCGACGGGACGTAAGATACACACATATCCTAGAAACGTACGGCGATGACGTCAAGCAGACGGTTCAAGACAAAACTGGACGTAAAAATGAGTGATGTTGATGTCAGGGTATTATCTCTATATTTATCTACATACTTTTCTACACTCTCCTTTTTTCTTGCTCTTCGTATGTTCCCATTTTTCGCCATTCTCTCTCTCAGTCTCTATCTTACCCATCGCATTCTTATTTGCTTACTTTCCATCTCGCTCTCTTTCTCGCCACTCTTTCTCTCTCTCTCTCTCTCTCTCTCTATCTCTCTCTCTCTCTCTATCTCCCTCTGCACCTCTCTTTCTTTCCCTGTGTATATTTCAATCGCATTACACTCATACTCCTTTCCCTCTCCCTCTTTCTTCTTATTCGCTTCCTTTCTCTTTCCTTTTCTCCCGTTTCCTTTACTCTCCTCTGCCTCCCCCCTTCTCTCTCAACTCATTGCCTCTTTATTGCTCTCAATTCATATACATTTATTAGTGACCGACTGGTCACATCGACCTTGGCTAGGAAACAGGCAGCTTGTGCTGAGGATTATGCCATCCGGTCATCCGTAACTCTATATCACGAGTCGACCATCTTCGCTGGTCAACATAACACTGTCTCTTTGTTCCACCCTTTCTCTCGCCTTGTCTATCTGTCCGTCTGTTCATCCGTCCGTCCGTCTTTCTGTATACCTGCCTACTTGCCTGCCTGCCTGTCTGCCTGCCTGTATGTGCGTTTGTCTGTCTGTCAGCCTATCTGCCTGGTGTCTTGTCTGTCACTGTCTCTCTCCCCCTCTCTCTCACATCAATTCTTATTTGCACTCCGGCATGTACGTTGAGTGTGTAAACCCGCTTCCAATAGTGACCAGTCACATAGTGTGGTGTGCATCATCACCATCTCTCCCTACTCCCCCCTCCCCTCCTCCGCCGTAGCTTCTCGCGTAGAGTGTATGAGAGTGAGAGAGAGAATCAACCATCTATAGCGCGTGCGCATGAACTGCTCGCGCGTTGCTCCCGATAGTTTTTCAGACGAGGCACAACGCTACAATAAGGGATTCTGAGGAAATCATTTATAAAAAAAAACATATAATAGAATTAGATCCAGCAGGTTCATCCGTTCTACCTTCGCTTGCTGTGCATGACACATCGAGGCTCGCTGTCTGTACGCTTGTAGAATGAAGTCCATACGACTCCGTTTATTCGCACATCGGATAGTCTAAAAATCTCCGCGAAGGTTGTTTGTTGTCGGGGCATATAGAGAGCGGCTGAGAAATGACGAAATACGGTGTACCCGTTCACGCGCCAATTTCTTAATCTAGCAATCTTCGCTCGGCCTCCAGCCGCCCTACAAGGTACAGACGTCGGTTCAGAGGCTTCTATAATGATTGATTATATATTGATGATTGATTACATCTCGACTAATCACGATCGATCGATCGATCGAGCGTAACTACATAATGAGTATATCGTCGACGAGGTGGCGATCAGGCGTTCAGGCGTCCGGTGGTTGCTACCAGGGAATGGCTATTGATACTGACGGGCACCGGCAGGGGACGGCACTGTCGCTTACTGCAGCCGATCCTGCAGCTGTTGTTGGTAGGCAGCCGATGACAGCGCCCCTGGTGTTCCCGCCGACAGCGCCGAGGGGAGGTAGGCTCCGTAGCCGGACGGCGGCGAGGCGTAGGCGGCGGCAGCGGCGGCGGCCGCGTAGTCGTAGCTGTTGGCGAACTGGTTCGCGTAGGCGGCGTAGTCGAGATACTGCGAGGCGGCGGCCGGCGATAGCGTCGACGCCGCCGCGTGCGGGATCATCATGCTCGGCGACGTCAGGTACTGATGCGACGGATACATCGCGTACTGCGCCGGCAGCCTGCCGAAGAAACAGAAACAGCGATGACGTCACCGCAAATACAGACACAGACGACGCGTCACTAACGCCGGCAGCGACGTCTAACGGCGACGAAGTCACGTGTTTGGCGCCTGGATGCTCGCAAGAACAAATTTCAGCAACGAGACAGCAATAATAATAATGATAATAATAATAATAATAACAACAACAACAACAATGATAATATAGCAGTAGTAATAGCAACGACTATAATTATAGGTGGATGACGCTTCGGTCATATTCATTGCTGCTCAGCATGTGAGCACATGTGACAGAGAGAAGGACAAGCAGAGAAGGGGAGAAGAAAGGAATTATAATAGCCATTTCCATGTTCAAACTGCGTTATCATACAATTCTGGATTGTATAATATTAAATTTTATACAATATATACATATATACAATATATATATACTGTAGTAGTAATAATACAATATTATAGATTGATAAGTTTTCATATTTTGTTGCATGATCCATAAAATTCTGGATTGTACATAATTTTGATATGTATCTAATACATATATATTATACATGTATATAATTTTAAGATGTATCACATATATATTTATATTTGGCGATAGATCCGATAAACGCCTCACGGTTTAATTAACGTTAATTACTAATTACTAATTAGCGTTCGCTCTCGTCGTTGCAGCCGGAATCCCGCGTCGTCGTCAAGCCGCGATCGGTGCCACGCAGCGATGCCGCGACAAGCTTCTCCCCTCGCCCGCAGACGCCCTGGGCCGTCGCGCACCTGCCGACGTCGCCGGCCCCTGCAGGTCGCGGCCTCACCGACGTCATGTCCGTGCGACTCACGGAGTACCGGCGCGCGAGCGACTCGCGACGCCGACGCGCAGTGCGTCCGACACGCCTCGCCGCGCGTTCACGTACTGATGACGGCGGGTGGCGAGTCGCCGCGCGTACGCCGCAAGACGCGTCGTGAAGTTCATCGGTGTCGATGTCGCGTCGGCGGACGTCTCGCGCTCGCGAAGATCGAGGTGAACTGGCGAGATCCCGAGGGCAAGAACGTCACCTTCAAGTGGCGCGGAAGCGCTCTTCATCCGCCACGCACTCGGCGAGATCGCCGCGAGGGGTCGTCGACGTCGCCTCCCTGGCGGGATCCGGAGC